ATGGAATGTTATAATGTAGTGAAATTGAATATTAATATTTTGGGTTTTGTTTATATAAAATTCAATATCATAAACAATAGATTTATTTAAAAACTATAAAGTAACAATTAATTGTATAACAAATATTAACAATAACAGACAAGTATACAATATACTTATGTATATAAATGTTTGAAACGAAATACTTTTAATATTGCAAAAACAATTTTCTATCTATAAGCTACGTTGTATGTATGTATCTAAACTATATGAGTTTAGATATAGAGTTTACTATTTCATATTGCATTAAAACCATGCTCTGCCAGAAAAGCTACATATAAGCTATTTTGCTATATTGTTTCTTTATTCCATTTATTTGAATGAATTTTGTTAAAATTTCTACGCACTGCTTTTGTTTCATTTTATCTGCATTAAAGCATCGAATTTATTCTAGCGAAAAATTAGTACCATCACATATTATCTTCACATTTTTCCTAAAACACCATTAAGGATTATATATGTGAGTGGCTTATGGTCTGAGAGATTTAATAAATATTATGTGTTATGTTTTTGCTGAAATCAACATAAAACAGATGTTTATTTAATGCTTCATTTGAGAGAAGTTTGCATGTGTGCTTATACGAATACGAATTCCACAAATGACTAAAGCTGGCCTTAGGATAACGCTTCATTAAGTAGCTTTTAAGGAATAAAGAATATTTATGAACAAAAAATACATATAAAATATAACTTATTTAGATTATTTTTCATATTATTGCAATTACTTAGAAATACTTGCGGATATTATTTGATAAAATCGATTTAATCATTTTGATATTGAATAAAAAACACTTAAGAGACAGCATTTGATTGGTGATTATTTTACCGAGAATTTCTGGGAATATATAATTTAAATATAATGAGATAATGATTTTTTTAAAAATCTCTATTCGAATTACTAGTTCTGTATTTTGGTATGCCCAGAAAGAAATGGGCAGAACCCATAAACTGATTTCACCAATTTCTTCTGGAAGTTACATTCCACTTCATGTTGTTTTATAATACACGTAAAGAAAGTTTGTTTACAATTTTATGTTGCGAACACCTATTTACACCTATTTGACAAAAATTTAAATTATATACGGACTCTAAACTAATTTAGAAATACGAATATTTCCTAAGAGCACTGATGATAAGTACTTGGCAATATTCGAAACAGCGTTGAAATTTTTGTCCTTGTCTTTTCTTTGCTATTCGAATCCGTCTAACTTTTAAATAGTTTTTTTTCGTCACAAAGACGTGTCAATTTTGGCAAGTAAAAATTAACATTAAATTCTTTTAAATATTAAAGTAATTGCTTAAGGTATTTAGCGTTCACTAAATATATATTAAAAAAATAAAACGATGTGGATTGCTAATATTTTTTAATACAAAACAGGATTTAAAAATTATAGAAAGATTGCCAGTCAAGTCAATTTATGAATTACCTTCAAAATATATATTGAACGTAATCTAATATTTTTGGGTCAAACTCTATTTTTATCAAATAAAAATATAGCAACAGTGAATAGTGAAAATTGTGCTAGTTAATCATAACTGTATGTTAGCATAATAGGAATGGATTCTGACTTAATAATTTTTTATGTACTTATTGCTTAAATATTAATGTATATTTTCTTTACGAGGAACCTCGCCTTTGATTGCACGCCATGTACTGGACATTTTTCGACCTCATGTCCCATACAAAAAACTTCATAAAAGTGAAAAAAATTAAGTTCGATAATCTTGCATTCCTGCATAAAAAGAATGGCTGTTGCCTTAATATTTTGGGCATATGTGTTCTTTCGTTTTCAATTTATATTTTGGTCATGAGACACAACCCCGTCACAGATACACTATATTTTGGACGGTTTTGGACTCAATCCAATACCAATCCAGTCAATATCAAAGAATAAAAAAAAATTGTGTTCGATAATAGGCTTTCCAGCAGAAAAGATATGTCCTGCCGCTATAACATTTTTAACATATATACTCTGTTCGATTTAAAAACATATTTTGGACTAGTTGCTTTCTTACATCACGATCAAATAATTATTATATAGTATTGTCTATTACTAATTTAAAATTGTTTGGTTTATCTCAAATAATTGCCTTAAGAATATAACATAATTTATTAAATAAATAAAGAATACTAAATAAAACAAAATTCATATAAATACTTTTCAAACCATATTGCGTGTAAAGCATGTAAAAAAATCTTTTAATTACTGTTGATATACTAAATTAGGAATAATTAAGTGAAGAATAAATTAAAATCACGAATTTCTTAATAAATTATTTCAAAGTAGTTCTGTATAATTAAATTAAAATATTTCAATTAAAAACTAAATTCCGATGCTATTACAAATAAATTTTGGCAACTATAATATACTCATAAAATCATTTATTGTTAAAACATTTTCATAACATTTTCTCAAAAGCTTGGGAAATTAATTTTGTAATAAACTTACAAATATTTATAGTTTAATTACTTGTTAAAATCAAAACCGACACTTTAAATGTATTGAATATTTTCATTTTTACTTAAAAGCAAAAAACTTTGAAATACTTTAATGCGGCAATAAACCGGGGAACGAGGAACATTTACAAATTCTTAATTAAGAAAAAAAATTATTAAAAGTTACTAGATATTTCTATTTAATTAAATTTTAAAATTACAAGCTTAAAACTAAAATATTATTTTATATTGATATTAGATTAGTTTACGGTGAAGTGACAGTCTTATCGACTAAAGCTCATTTGAGTACGAATAATGACTCTTTGTGAAACCACACATATCACTTTCTGTCAGCACAATAGACAGGAAGTATCCCTCTAAAATTTCGATTGACGTACGAACCATTTAGAGCACGTATAACATACGGTTTTAGAGAATGATAACCTCATTTACAAGACTTCAAGTGAACATGAATAATGTTCGGAATAATGATCTTAAGAAGGACCGGTCTTAAGTTAAATGTTCAAAGGTTTAGGCCTACGAATCTCTATTTACGTAAAATGGAACTAACCTTGTATGTATCATGAACTTGACTCCATCTCTGATTTTAGAGAATGATAGTTCTGTCAAGCAAGTGATAAAAAGGTTACAAAGATTTTAAAAATTATTCTAATGAAAGACTGTACTGGTACTGGTGCATGACGTGGTGTACAGTTTCTTCCATATAAGCAAATTCACAACAACGACAACAGCTGTCTAACATATTTTCATTATTGTGTATAAAATAACTCTTTTATGTGAAATATATTTCAAAATACTATTTTAATATTATTTGAAAGTAAAATTCTATATAAATGGTATTTGTTCTATTGCAGATCTTTATACAAGTAATGCTGGACTAGCAGGAGAACAGGAAAATGCTCATTTAAAGATGCATATCATACAAGAAACGACATCCTTCCTTACCCATTTTTATAAATAGAGTTAGATTTAAATTAATAAAAGAGGTTCCATCCTTCACTTAGGTAGACAAAATGACATAATGAAATCATATATATTTTGGAACCTGTTTTATTAATTCAAATTGAACTCTATTTATAAAAATGTGTAAGGATGTCGTTTCTTGTATGATATGCATAAAATCATATACCATATATATGAAATCATATATATTTTGTTTTACTTAGTAGTTTACAGATAGAATAATGGTATTAAAAACTGCTTTAAATTTCTATATTAAAGTGGAATCTATTTGCCCCTAATGCTGCTGTCTTTATTTTATATATAGATTGATAGATAATAAACAATATAATTACGATATTAATAATGTGTATTATAATGTGTAATAATAATGTACAGATGACAACATTGTCATACAAGTTAAGGGTAGTAAATAAGTTAAAAAAAGCAATATCTGACGATTTACTCTTTATTCTAAAGGTAGTAAATAAGTAAAAAAGCAGTAACTGACGATTTACACTTTATTCGAATGCATACGTACGTTTCTATGAAAAAGATACGTATGCTATAAGGTCAGAGAACTCTTCTTATACCAAGTCTTTGAAGTGCGTTTTATTTATAATATATGTATTACATTATCTGCATACTAGAAATATTATCTTTCTTATGAACTATAAATAAAGAAATATTTACTATTTTCAAACATAAAAATTATAAATACTTTTGTAAAAAATATGTAAAAAATAAATATGTAAAAAAGTATAATAAATGTAAATATATGTATTAAGATATTTACAGAGGATGTGTAAGTTTATGGGTAGAACAAAGACCTTTCTTTACTAGTAGCATATGTTAAAATTTAAACTGATATTTTTAAAAAAATTTTAATTCAATTAAATTTTAAACTTAAGTTCAAATTTTTTTGCTTAAATTTTTCTTAAAAATTATTTAAGCACGACTTGCTAAATTAGTCAACCTAAGAACGTTGATTTCTTTGTAAATACAAAGGAAGCTTACATTTTTATTTGCTTTAACAGAAATTAATTTCATTAAACAATAAAAGGAAACCTTTATAGCATATAAAACAGTTAGTGAATCGATTTGACAATGATTTTTTTATATGACTGACATTTGAACCGAACTTAATCAATCCACCATGTAACAAATAGGCAATCAACCTGTCCCTGAGTTATGTGCTTAATAAAAGTCAGAATAGTTGACAGCTACTGTCAGTTAGTCAGGCAGCAAATAACTTTGCAATAAAACTGAAATTTGGTACAAAAATTAAATATAAATTTTTATAGTCAACACATAAAAGACCAGCAGCCACACCAGCTGAAATGTTATTCAATGTCCTTTGTGTATCTCACACAAACGCTGTACTCTTAAGGCCATTCCAAAGCACTGTCTTATACAGACGAAATACTACGACAATACCAAGTTTCTTTACTTGATTACAAATTTTATGGATTTTATGGCAAAAGGACTAACAATACTGAACTCAACTCAACTCAATTCAACGGAATTCAAGCAAATTCAACTGGATTCGACTAAACTCACTCACCTAAGCAACGTTTGATTGTAGCACCACTACTGGTTGAACCACGTTTATAGCCAGCCGATAAGAATGCCGGTGGTGGCGTTATTGGTGGCGCTGGTATGCCTATATCATGTATTGGTGATGTTGCTGCAGAAGTTGTGGCTGAGACTGATTTCACTGTTAGTGGCACTGATGCGTGGGAGGATGTACTCGCTGTTGTTACACTGGTCACATCAGGTGCATCGCGATATAATTCCAAATGATGTTTATCGCAACGACGTCGCCGTCGTATGTTTGGAGCAATGGTTTTCATTTTGGCAACATTTCCGGCACTACTACCGTCTTTGGAATTGATGCGTATATAGTGTACCCGTAAAATAGGTATTTTTCTCTGTAGTTGTTGTTGTTGTAGTTGATGTTGCTGTTGCTGTTGTTGCTGGAAATTTTCCTGTGGTAATTGTTTATGCGGTTGTTTCGGTAACAATTGTGGATATCGTTCGTTTCGATTGTAGTGTAACATTTATGTTACTTTCAAGTGTTGTTTGAGTTAAAATATGTCTTTAATTAAAATTTATTTGCTAAAATGTCTTTTTTTGCTTTAATATTAAACTATAAATTTATACTTTATATATATTCAATTTCTGTATCTTTATATTTATCTTTATATATATATTTATATATAATAATATAGATTTGTATTTTGCACAAAATATAGTTTATAGCTTTTAAATAAATTTTAAATATAATTTTATTTAAAAATAGTAACTCTTTGCTTAATATTTTGGAAGCTTATATTTGCTGCATTTGTATTTATAATTATAGAATTAAATTTTTTTATAATCCTCTTTTATATACTTTTAAGTAACTATTAAATAGACAACGATTAACACAGTAAGCTGTTGATATATTTATAAATCTTTTTAAGTTTTTAATAAGCTTTAGCTTTTCACTTAATTACTATTTTAAATATTTTAATTTTTAAACACTTTCATAAAGTTATATATTATTATTATTTAACGTTATTGATTCTTTAATTGCTTTTTAATTTAATTTTTTAAATTCATTAAATTCATATGCTGTCTTTTAGGTTAAAATTTTTATTTATATTTTATTTTATACCATTTAATGCTGCCTTATAGGTCAAATTTTTTTATTTTTATTTTATATTTTATATTTTATTTTCTACCTGAAGCGTTGAACTGTCGTAGCACTTGAGTTGCATTTATTTATCCTTTTTGTACAGTATTTAAGCTGATTTCATAAATAGTAACAATAAAATATATATTCTATGCAACAACGAAACATCAATTTCAACTACTGTTTTATATATATGACTGTATATAAATTATATTTTTAATATTTAGCTTTCACTTTTTAATGTAAGTAATTTTCAATTTGAAACAAATGTAGTAACCTTAAAAATTCGTAACTGTAAAAAAAAGATTTTTTTATATAAACAAATTCTTTCAATAAGTATCCTTTTTGCAATCATTTAATTTATATAAAAAATTTATGTCAAAGATGATCGAAATTTAATCGATATATAAATCAAAAATATTAATATTATTATTAGATAAAATTATTTAAAATAAAAAAAGGGTTTATTGTATATACCTATAAAAATAAAATATATAATTTTAATTTAATTTTACTTTTTTAATGAATGTTTTTTTTAAATTGATTTTTGATGTCTGCTTTGACAAAAGAAACTAAATTCTTAATATAAACTATAGTTTTCTATCGAGAGGTATTTTTAAATTAAAATACTATTTTATTATTTTTTCAATTAATAATTAAAAGTTAGAAGAATTTATTTTACCTAATTTCGCTTAAATTAATTTTATTCAGTACTTCATTATTTACTTAATAAATAAAAATAAAAATATTTTATTTTAAAAAAATAAGTGTTTAATTTTCAATATTTAATTTTTAATTTTTGTTAAATTAATTAATATAAAATTGATATTAATTTTTAGTAATTAAATTTTCGTATTACTAATAATAAAAAAACGAATTACCACAATCAAATATAAAAATAAAAATACACAGAAAATTTAATATTCAATTTTTATATAACACTAAACCGTACTACTAATTGTTATATACATTTAATTTAATAATTTAATTTAATTAATTATAAGTAATTTTATTTATGTTGAGTTTATTTAGTTTTCTTATTTCTAAATAAACTAACATTTAAAATTAAAAATCAATTTTAAAATTAATATTTAAAATTAATTAAGTATAAAATTAATACAAATACATATATATAAATTTGGTTTTAACTTAGTAACAAGGAACTGACAATATTTTGTTTAATCATTTTATATATTTTTTTAATTTATATATATAAATTTTTTTTTAATAACATAAAAATATTCAGTAAAAAATAAATTATTTTTTTTTTATTTATTTTAAGTTTTTTATTGAAATATTTTTTATTTTTATTATAATTTCATTGCATTATTTATTATATTGTTTATATTCCATATTTTATAGGTTTTTTTTATATAACAAATTTATGTAAACGTCACTATTGTTTTTCTCAGATTCTTTCTCAGATTTTATATCGATTTGATTTATTTTATTTAATTTATTTAATTTAATTCATTTATTTAATTTAATTAATTTATTTGATTTAATTAATTTATTTTATTTAATAATTTACATTAATGAGATTTTTAACTGTCTCCTCTAATAAATATATTTCATATTACGTTCATATTTATTTATGTATTATATAAAAAATAAGTATATAAATATATAATTTATAAATACATAAATATTTATCCTGAGTTATTAATGTATTAATTTTATCATTTTTTTTCTATTTAATAAATGATTTATTTTTTTAAATATAAAACAAATTATAAATTGATTAATTTATTTTGTTTTTTAAATTCTATAAAAACAAGTATAGTAGTTTACACTCCCTGAATCTATCTTATTGTATAGCATATCTCTCTAATTTCTCATATCACTTTTTTTAATAAATAACTATTCAAAGTTTCGAACTGGATAAATAGGGAGCCACTTTAATCTTTATCCACTGAGTTCAAAATTTATTATTAAATAAATAGAAATATATTTAAAATAGTTTTAACAGCGAATGATAAAATAAAATTTTTCTTCTACTTCTATTCCTACAAATGGACTAGATTAGCCGATTAGATTAGATATATGTTAACTAAATAAATTTCCTTTATAATTTTTTTATGCAGAACATAAAGTCATATTTTAGTACTTAATAGTTAACCAGAATTTCAAAATTCCAAAATTAACTTCATTAGTCTTTAAATAAACATTAAGTCTAATGAGTGGCTTTTCAACTAAATATTTGTTTATTTAATTATTGAATATTTCCTTTAGGAAAAATAAACTTTCAACCTCGAAAAGGGAAGTACATTAACAAAACCGCAACTGATAAACCCTCTAATGAAATGCCACTAAATTGGAAAAATTCCTTAATTTCTGAAATTCTAATGATGCATAAATAAACCAAAAATTAAGAATTCATAAAATACTCCTAAAGTCAACTTTACCTGCATAAACACATAAACCCATATACGACAAATAAAAAAGTTCAACCAAAGCAAAATTAAATATTTCCATAACATTGCACAACGACCTCAAGAACCACAAGAATAGAAGAGGAAAATTTGATGGTAAAAAAAGGAAGAAAAAAAATATTTCTGAAGATGGAATAAAATAATAATTCTTAGAAAAAATCACGAGAAAAATATCTGGAAAGTGAAACGGAAGTTGAAATTTTCAAGCAACTTAAATGGTTCAGCACAACCTAACATGAGCATGAAGACAGTTGCGGAAATTGTTGGGGCAGTGCCCATGGCAAGTGCAGATGCCAGTTGTTAGTTAAAGCAGCAGTAGTCGTAGTTCGGAGACCAATGGAAATCGCAACTATAATGGAGGAGTGGAAGAGTGGGAAGTGGAAATAAGTGTAGTCAATACTGCAAGTGTTGGCGGTCGGTAGGAAATTTCAAATATTTATGTGACAGGAAATAAAAAATTACGAATTCAAAATATAAGAGTGCAAAAATGTGGCAGCATAGGTTTAAGTCAACACCCAAAATGTTCTTACCGTTCTGATGTACATGTACGTGATTAAAATTGTTTATGATTAAATAACTTAAAAATAAAAAAACAGTATTTTTTTAAGAAGAAAAAAAAAATTTAAAACGTGGAAAAAAAATATCAAAAAATAAAAAATAAGAGCAAAAGGACGAAATTAATTTGTGTGCAGAAAGCGTACAAATTATAATTACAAAAGAATAAAAAAGGAATGTTTGCAAGGAACTGAGGCGTGAGTTAAGCACAGGAAGAACGTGCGCTTATGTACGACGTCGTAGAGCCTGCCATCATACAATGCCTGCCATCATACAATAATACACATAAAACATTAATAGTGTGGCAACACTGTAGGCTGTTGTCTTGGAAAGCATATGAAAATGAACTTCCAAGTACTTTTTTCTCGTTTGCTTGCTTGAGTTCATATTGTGTGCATTTGTATACATAAGTCATTTTAAATTAAAAATAAAATATATTAACTAAGACTCAAAGAGAAAAATAAATGAAAACATGACACATAATTTTAAATGCAATTTTTTATAATGTTGCCAACAGATGGTGTCAGAAGCAATTGTTTTAAAAGTACACGTGCACGTCCACGTACACACGTGTAAATAACGCTCGTTTAAAGTTGGTTTATGAC